ACCAAGATGCGCTGCACCTCGTCCTCGGACAGCCGCGGAGCGCCCGCGCGCGCCGCCTTCTGCGCGTGCGCCGCCGAGATGTTGACGGGCGGGATCTGCCCCCAGCGTCCGTCCGCAGCGAGCCACTTGGCCTGGAGGAGGAAGGGGAGGGGGGGGAGGGGGGGGGGGGGCGTGGTTTCGTCAGGACGGGGTTTCTCCCCATATCTCCCCATATCTCGCGCCGAGAGGGCCGATCCAAGAGGCGCGTTGGTGGGTACGCGGGGGGCGGAGGCGTCTCGGAGGCGTCTCGGAGGTGTCTCGGAGGCGTCTCGGAGGTGTCTCGGAGGTGTCTCGGAGGCGTCTCGGAGGCGTCTCGGAGGTGTCTCGGAGGTGTCTCGGAGGTGTCTCGGAGGTGTCTCGGAAGGGTCCCGCGCCTCCTTGACGTCGAGCGAGACGCCATGCCGCTCGAGCTGGTCGCGCAGCCTGTCCGCCGTCTTGTAGTCGCTCGTGTAGCGCGCCTGCTCGCGCTCCCGCACCAGCCGGTTGATCTCGGCGTCGTCGAGCGACGCGGCGCCCGACTTTGCCGCCTTTTGCGCGTGGATCTCCGACACGTTGACTTGCGTGATGGAGCCGGACCGGCCGTCCGCGGCGCGCCACGTCTTGGCCTGGTCGTCGAGCGTCACCCCGAGCTTGGCCAGCTGCTCGCGGAGCCGGTCCGCCGCGTCAAAGTCGCGCGAGAAGCGCGCCTGCTCTCGCTTGGCGACGAGCGCCCGGACTGTCGAGTCGTCGGTGGCGCCGCCCCCGGCGCCCGCGCCGGTCCGCTTCGTGGAACCCCCCTCTGCGTTCCTATGCCGCGACGGCGGCGGGTGCGCCGGCGGCGGCTCCGCGGGCGCCCGCCGCACGACCGACGCCCACCCCACGCCGCCGCCGTCCAGCTGCCCGTTGGTCGCCGCGGCGGGCGCCGCCACTGGCGGCGCCGCCGGCGGCGGCGCCGCGACGCCAAGGCCAGCGAGGAGGCCGCCGCCGAGCCCGTCGTTTAGCGGCGGCAGCGACACCGCGCGGGTCGCTGTCGGCAGCGCCGACGGCAGCTCGCCGCCGCCGCGCCGCCCGCCCCCCACGGCCGCGTCCTTTGGCGCCGACGCCGCCGCGGCGCGCAGCGCGAGCTCCTCGTCTGCGAGCTGAGCGACGATCCGCTCCCCGACGAGCCTGGCGATGCCCTCGCAGCTGGCGCGCACCTCGGCCTCGGCCGCGCCCCGCTTGGCGTGCTGCGTCCACAGCGTCCAGAGCACCTTGAGCAGGTCGGTGAAGGTCATCATGAACGGCAGGATCCACTCGCGCACCGCGTAGTCGGCCGACGGGATCTCGCGCAGCTGCAGCGACTGGACCAGCATCTGCTTGCCGTGCGAGCCCGGGTTGGTCTCGAGGCACTGGCGGATGGTCTTGCCGTCGGTGAAGTGCCGGTTGATCTTCTGGCACAGCTGCGTCACCACCTGCATCTCCTGCTCCGACATGACCACGACGCCGGGGAAGCGCTGGATCAGGTGCGTGTAGATCTCCTCGAGCCGGAAGAAGCCCTGGAAGAGGGACGCCTCGCCGGGGGAGTAGGTGGGCGTGTAGATGCCCGGGTTGCACAGCGCGTCCTTGTACACCGTCTGGAACTGCAGCAGCAGGTTGAGCAGCAGCCACTCCACGCGGTCCTGCTCCGTTGCGGACTCTGGCGGGTAGGCCATCGACGCGCGCATCGAGCCGGGCTGCGCCTCCGTCTTGGCGTCGTACGGCGGCAGCGACTGGACGTACGACATGACCTGCACCGAGTGCAGCAGCATCGGCTGGAAGAGCAGCACGCGCGCCGCGTGCGAGATCTGCACCACAAACTGCTGCACCTCTGCGGGCGTGGTCTTGCCCGCCCCCTGCTGCAGCCCCTGCTGCACGCGCTGCAGCCAGACGAGCATCTGCACGTGCTGCAGCGCGAAGAGCTCGTACTTTGCGCGCGCGAAGACGGGCGACTGCAGCTCCTTGCCCAGAAAGTTCGGGTCGTGCAGCGTGTTGAGCTGGTTGGCCAGCGCGGACAGGTGCTGCTGGAAGGTTTGCAGGTCGCACGGCGACGGCTGCCCGCCGAGCATGCGGAGAGGGCCGTCGAGCTGCGCGAGCTGCACGAGCATTCGGATGACGGAGCCCATGTGGGGCGCGGACGCGGCGCCCTGCAGCACGCTGAACGTCGCCTGCAGCTGCGCCTGCTCCATCGGCTGCGACATCTCTGGCAGCAGCGTGTCGTCGCTCGGGAGCGGCGGCAGCTCTGGCGCCGCCAGCGCGCCAGTCGCAATGTCGGTGAGGCAGGAGAGCAGGCCCTCGTGCGGCGCCCAGGCCGCCTCGGGCAGCACGATGTGCTCGCCGCCCTCGACGAGCAGCGAGGCGAGCGGCGCCAGGGGTGGCGGAGCGGCGCCAGGGGCGCCTATGGTGGCGGGCACGCGCACGGCGTCAGGAGCGCGCTCTCTGCGACGGCGCGGCAGAGGCGCGCACCCTGCAGCACGCTGAAGCTGGGCCCAGTTCCCTGGAGCATGGCGGCAAACGTCTCGCTCATCTTCTGCCGCAGCCGCGCGTCGGCCGTCGAGGCCACCCCAGCCTCGATGAGCTCTCTCTGAATGACGTGCTCGCGCTGCAGCTGCACGTTGCTCGCGACCGCCTCCAGGACGGCGCGAGGGTCCGCGGCGGCGAGCGGCTCTGCTGCGGCGAGCGGCGCGGTCACACGGTTGCCCGAGCCGCCGCCGCGGCGCGAGCCGCGCGAGCCGCGGCTGCGCGCCGCGGCGAGGCCCTCGCTCACGCAGGCCATCAACTCGCAGCGCTGCCCACCCTGAAGAAGAAAATCAAGCCAGCCATCCACGAGCCTCGTCGTCCCCTCGTCACCGGGAGGGAGGCGGGAGCCACCCAAACGGCGCTGTCTGAAGAAATCTGCTGGCCGAGGTGCGAGGTGCGATACCTACCCACCTGCGACCGGCAAGCACATACACCTCAACTCGGAGCATCCCATACTGTACGAGCCGTCTTCCGCCAAGCAGCAGCGCCGGCTGTTTTGCTCTGCCCGCCTGCCCTGCGCGGAGAGAAAGAATTTAAACAAAACAACTCTCTCTCACAGCACACAGGCTCGACACAGGTGCGAACTGGCGCGTGCTAGGAGAGAAAGAAAGGGGAAACAATAGAAAGAAAGGCGGGGCGGCGGCGGCGCCACGCCCACGGACGCGGGAGGACTGTGCATAGGACGGGGGGCGCGGAGAGATGAATGGCAGATGCAAGAAAGAATGGCCAGACGCCTCTCCAGAGCCACTATCGACGCAGCCCCGCCCGCCGTCGAGGTGGGGAGAGCTCTCCGCCGCGGCCGAGTGGGGGGAGAGAGAGCGAGCCCTCCGTCTCCGTCCCCCGTCCGTCAAAGAGTGCAACGCACACTTGGACATGCGCTCCCCCCAGGTAATGTGAAGAGTAGGTGTATTGTTGGCAAACAAACAAGACACAGAGCTATGTGAAGAAAGAGTAGTGTAGTGTTTTTGTGTGAAGAGTAGTGTCACTGTGCGATTTCGGGGCCCGCGGCACCATCACCGAGTCGATCAACGCCGTCAAGCTCGTCAAGTCCAAGGGCTGGGGCGTCATGTGCTCGCACCGCTCGGGCGAGACGGAGGACACCACCATCGCCGACCTCGCCGTCGGCCTCTGCACCGGCCAGATCAAGACGGGGGCGCCATGCCGCTCGGACCGCCTCGCAAAGTACAATCAGCTGATGCGCATCGAGGAGGAGCTCGGCTCGAAGTGCACGTACGCCGGCGCCACCTGGAAGAAGCCGGCGTGGATGGCGCCGGGCGGGGTTGACGCCCCGGCCGCGCCCGTCTACCGTGCGGCCAAGCCGGCAGCGGAATTGGACGGCACGGGGGGGCTCCTGGGATGGTTTGAGAGCAAGACAGGGCTGGACCTCAACAACGACGGCTTCGAAGGCGACCAGCCCTCGACCGGCCGCTAGGGGATGCATGGGCGGGACTGAAGAGGCGAAGCAGCTGGCGGCGAGCCCCGCCCCGTGCAGACGAGGGTGCGCACAAACGGCGAGCAAATGTTGTCAAAAAGCAATAGAGACGGCCCTCAACCGGTGTAGAGTATCTGTGAACAGTTCAGACACGCCTCGACGTGCCGCTTACGACACGCTCTCGCGGTCTGCCGTCTTCACACCCCCACTCTCCGCACGACCGGCACGCCGGCGCTCTCACGGCCTCTCATGCGTCGCGGACGGTGCGTCGTCGCGGTGTGCGCCGTGCGGCGCGCGCGGTGTGGCTCGTCGGTGCACGGCGGGGGGGAGCGCCCCATACTAAGCGCTGTTTTTCGTTTTGCACGTTGGACGTGCACTCGGCGGAGAGCTCTCCCCACACCTCGACGGCGGGGCTGCGTCAATAGTGGTTCTGGAGAGAGGCGTCTGGCCGTTCTTGCATCTGCCAACATCTCTCCGGCCGCGCCCCCCGTCCGTGGGCGTGGCGCCGCCGCCGCCCCGCCTTTCTTTCTATTGTTTCCCCTTTCTTTCTCTCCTAGCACGCGCCAGTTCGCACCTGTGTCGAGCCTGTGTGCTGTGAGAGAGAGTTGTTTTGTTTAAATTCTTTCTCTCCGCGCAGGGCAGGCGGGCAGAGCAAAACAGCCGGCGCTGCTGCTTGGCGGAAGACGGCTCGTATGGGATGCTCCGAGTTGAGGTGTATGTGCTTGCCGGTCGCAGGTGGGTAGGTATCGCACCTCGGCCAGCAGATTTCTTCAGACAGCGCCGTTTGGGTGGCTCCCGCCTCCCTCCCGGTGACGAGGGGACGACGAGGCTCGTGGATGGCTGGCTTGATTTTCTTCTTCAGGGTGGGCAGCGCTGCGAGTTGATGGCCTGCGTGAGCGAGGGCCTCGCCGCGGCGCGCAGCCGCGGCTCGCGCGGCTCGCGCCGCGGCGGCGGCTCGGGCAACCGTGTGACCGCGCCGCTCGCCGCAGCAGAGCCGCTCGCCGCCGCGGACCCTCGCGCCGTCCTGGAGGCGGTCGCGAGCAACATCGCCCCGAGGTTAGGTTAGGTAGCCCCGAAACAAACAAACAAGCAAAGGGGGAGGGAAAAAAACAGCGGGGGCGGGGGCCCACACGATTCCAGAAATGGTTGTGTCCCCGCTCCTCGCTCGCCCGGGCGGAGGGCATGGCCGCGGAGGAGGCGAGTACACGCTGCCAGGCCTTCCGCAGACAGCCTCTTGGGCAGACTGAGGGTCGGCTTTGCGTGGCGTGGCCCGTACGCTGCGCTGCGCAAAGCTGCGTATGCGGAGGGAGCATCCTGTGCTTCCACCGGGAAGTGCGCACCTCCTGCAGCTGGTGGAAGGCCGTGCCGCCGCTCGCCTGCTCCGTGGACAGGGCGGGGAGGCGGTGCCGCAGCGCCGCAGCGTCCGCTGCACGCCGGTGCAGCACTCTGCTGCCTGGTGGGCAGCATGCTGGTGCTGTGCGCGACGTTTTCGAGGCTGCAGTGGCGCTGCACCGCAAGCCACGGCGAGTGGCACGCAGCATGCGCGGCGCCGCGCTTGGCCCGGACAGCGCCAGAGAGTGCCCTCGATGGGCCAGCCTGCGCGGCGCGAGCGCCGCACAAGCTGACGCATCGTCTGCCATTCTCTGGTCGACGGCGGTCAATCTCACGATTGTCGATCAAAACCGGCGGGCTTTGTGACGCCGTTTACGCAATCGTTTTTTTGGCTTCGCTTTCTCTTTTGCTTGTTTTTATTTCGTTTTTTCTTTTACGAAGCGACGGAGGCGGGGGCGGGCGGGCGCTAACTACGGGCAACTACATGTCGAAGGTTCGAGGTCGACTACTCGCCGCCTGGGTCGTTTGGGGCGCGCGGCTCCGTCGAGGACCGGGCGCGCCCCTTTCCCGGCGCGGCGTAGGTCCCACTCTGACGTATAGAGGGGAAGCACGGACAACGGCCCAACTCGTCAATTCCACTCATCTTCTGGTGCCTAGCCCCGTGCAGCGGCGGTCCGGCAGGCTGCCCCCAAGGCCCCCTGGGCCGCTGCGGGTTTTGGAGTTATGCTTTGGCACAGCTTCGGCGATGGCGGCCCCTCTCTGGGGCTTGCATAGGCGGGGAGTCTCCCTCGCTGGTCTCCTCATTCCCTTTTTTCTTTTTCTTTTGAGCTGGGTGTGCCGCCGCGCGGCGCTCGCGCGGCGGCGGTGTGTGTGTGTGTGTGGTGGTGGTGGTGGTGGGGGGGGGGGGGGGGGGGCTCCGGGGCCCCCAGAAAAAAGGCCCGGCGAAAATTGGCTCCCCGAGGGGGAAACAAGAAGGGGGGATGGGCGGTCGGCGTCGAGTAGAGCGGCAGGCGCGTACGGGGTAGCCGTCACTTTCCTGCCTCACAAGGGCGGGGCTGTCCCGGAAAGTGAGAGACGCCGGGCAGCGTGGCGCATCATTGAACCCTCCCATACGTGCTCGTGCTCCTCCTACGCTGTCCCATCTCCTCATCTCTTTCCCACCTAGGCGGGGCGGGGGTTGGGGGGGCGGCGGGCGCGGGTGCGAGGTGCGGTGCGGTGCGTGCAATCGTGTGTTTGGCGTCATGTCGTGTGTGCCTTCGCTTGTACCTATTAACAACGAAGTCTAGCTCAAAAAAAAACTTCCCCCCCATCATTCGAAATAGTGATCTGATCACCCGAATACCACGTTCGGATCGCTCCTCATCGCAAACCCCGTCAGCGCCTACGGGTATGTTCGTAAGAGCTACATACACAGAAATCAAAAACAAATGACGTGTGAGTGTTAGAGTTGTTTGGTATTGCTAAAAATCTCTCAGAAATCATCAGTCTTGGTCCCGGTGAAACAACATTTGCGCGCTCCTGTCGCCGCGCACATGCCACCAGCTTCGCAGCGCAGCACCGCCTACAGCATGTACTCCGCGAGACGGTCCTTCCTATCACCTCCAGGGCCAGGCGCCTACCAGCGTGGCGTCAACGACTCCACGCTCATGCTCGGCGATAGAGCCAAAGCGTTCCACGGCGACGGCTTTGACCAGTCAAGGGCGCTGCTCAAAGAACGCACCGGACGGCCAAGTCCTTGTGACTACAGCCCATCGACGCTGCGCTCGGGCCGCGGGTTGTGGAGCGGGCGGAGTAGCAGCATTGGCCTGCCTCTCTTGCCTCCGCCGAACCGAAACCCGGGCCCTGGAGAATACAGCCCAATGAGACCGAGGGCGGTGGGCAAGAGCTTTGGTGCGGTTCCTTTGCACGCACGTGCAGCGGGCCTGCTGTGGACTGAGCCGCGCCCTCCGGCGCTTGCAGGCGGCGACGGCTTCAACGAGGAGACACTTCGAATGAAA